GGTCTAGAATCATAACCACCACCACCACCACGAGGTGGTGACTACTGCCGTGAAACACCATCAACCACCACCACCCGAGGTGGCAGTAGGTGGTGTCGGGCCTAGTGAAACTCTAGTTAATTTAAAAACTTAACTTTTGACCGAATTGGCATGTTTGGGTTGGAAACCCGAATTAGGGTTTGGGAAACCCTAATCTTGGAGACTTTAGTTTAGACTTGCCGGGACTCGCGTTTTGGACTGTTGGATTGGAGTTATTAATTATGTCCGACTACATTGTTTGTTTGACCTAGTAGAATGATGGACTTAATGGATTAAGTACATAATGGGTTAAGTGTTTTTATTTAAGCCTAATCTTCATTTTATGTGAAAACCCTAATTTTGTTTGTGTTTTAAGTTGGGCCTTTTCTTGGGCTTAGGTGTTTGGGTTCTTAGTGGGCCATCTAAGAACAATGGACTAGGATATTTGGATGGGCTTTAGGGTAAGGCCCATGTAAGGGGTTAGGGCCTAATTTGGAATATTGGGCCATATATTGGGCCTTGGTTGATTATTTGGCTTTTGGGCTTTCAGAGTGTAAGTTCGGCCTTGGTCTTGAACCAAGCTAGGTTAGGGGTAAAATAGTCTTTTCACCCTAAGTATGGATTTACGGTGATGAATTGGAACCCAAATGTTAATTGGGTGTTGTTTTGATATTAACAGTTCAGGGATCTATTGGCCAACAGCTAGAAATTTATCCGTAGGACTTCAACAGTGTGAGGTGAGTTTCCTCACTGGGTATAGTGGGTCGAAGGAACCAAAGCCAACCCTAATATGATTGTGTTGATATATTTGTTGTTTGTGTGATGCTCGTATGTGTTAGTGTATGTATCTCATGCTTGGGCGTGGTCCGTTATGCGAGTGTGGGAGGGGCCCGTATCTTAGTGGGTGGTACCTATTATTCGTGTGTGGGCTGGACCCGTATCTTATTGGGTGGTACCCGTTATTCGAGTGTGGGCGGGACCCACATCTATTTTGGGTGGGGCCCATTATATGATATGTATGGTATGAGGTATCCTAGGGAACTTACTAAGCTTCGTGCTTATGGTTGTGAGTTTGTTTTTAGGTACTTCTGGTTGCAAAGCAGAAGAGCTTGAGTTGATTGCCTCGCACACACCACCGGGATTCTGCATATAATATTCTACTCTTATTTTTATGACAATTGATACATTGGTTTTCTTTTGAGTTGTATGTTTGGTTTATGAAAAAAAGTACTACTTGATCTATCTTAAAAATGAAAATTTTGGGACCATATTTTTAGATGTTATAGCCCGGCATCGAGCTAAGCTCGGTAAAATGGTCCCCACCCAACATCAATAACATATATTAAAAGAAACACGTAGACATGAAATAATCACATAGATACATAGCATACAAATATTCATCGGGCCCGGCCCGACATCGGGAACATGCAAGAGTAACAAAGACAACTAGCATACTAACAACATAACATAAATATGGGCTGGCGTTGGTGCCTTGGACCCACTAAACCCAATAACGAAACTCACCTCGAACTGCTGAAGTCCTGCAAATAAAACTCTATCAGTTGGCTGATAGATCCCTGAACTGTCAACATCAAAACAACACGTAATTAATAATTAGGTTCCAATGCATAACCATAAATCCATACATGTAGTAAAAAGATTACTTTACCCCAACCTAGCTTGATCCAAGGCCAAGGCCCAAAATCACACTTTGACGACCCAAAATCCAAACAATCAACAATGGCCAATTCTCCAAACTGGGCCCAAACCCCTCTCATGGGCCTTACCCTAAAGCCTATCCAAATATCCTAGTCCATACACTTGCTCTCAGATGACCCAATAAGAACCCAAACACCTAAGCCCAAAAGAAAGGCCCAACTTGAAGCCCAAACAAAATTAGGGTTTCACATAAAATGGCGATTAGGGTTAAGTAAGAAAACTTAACCCATTAAGCATATAATCCATTAAGCCCATCCACTAGGTCAATCATACAATGTGGTCAGGCATAACTCATAATTCCAATCCAATGGTCCAAAACGCGGGTCCCGACAAGTCCCAAATAAAAGTCTCCAAGATTAGGGTTTCCTAAACCCTAATTAGGTTTTCCAACCCAAACACATGCCAATTAGGTCCAGGTTAATTTTTTTAGGTAAATTAGGGTTCAACTAGGCTGGATACCACCCACTACCAGCTCGGGCGGTGGTGGTCGACGATGATTCACGGCGGTAGCCACACCCTCACGGTGGTGGTGGGGGGGGGGGGGGGGGGATTTTGCATGATTTTATGACCAAAGATTTCTCCTACAACATCATGCCATAATTCACAAGAAAATTTACACCAAAACAAACATACAATCACCTCCCACAATGGCTGGTGGCGGCAGGAAATGGCAGTAAGCAGCAACCACCATGGTTGGCGGCCAACAAATACACACACATAGCCGACAACCATAGCTAAAAAACACATAAACTCGAGCACAAACACAAACGTGAATGCAACTGGTCCTCCTTAGGGTGCTGAACCTAGATCGGAGCAAATGAAAAGGAAGATTATACAAGCGGCGGCGGTGGCTAGTTGCTGCGGAACAAAGTCAGAAGCGAGGGGCAGTCGGAACAGCATCGGAAACTGCTGAGGGCGGTTGTGGATGGTGACAGAAAAGAAGATGAAGAAGAAAGGTGGAGGAATAGTGGCAGCAGACACACCCAACACTCAGTTGTCAAACTCGCTCTCGCCAGAAGGGGTAGCAACCACGACACTTGGCGGTGGCAGCAATGATAAGGATGGCGGTGCCGGAGATGGAAAGATAAGGGTGGCGGCAGCTGGAGCTTGAATCTAGGTTTAGGGTTTAAATGAGAGGAGGTGACGGGTTTATGCTCGTCCATTTGCATATTAAACTCATAATTACACTTCCAGCCCCTCCCTCTTAATACTTTTCAACATAAATCAATAATTTACCAAACAACCCTTAGCCTTCCAAATTATTTACAAAACTAATCTATAAATTACACTTTAACCGCCAAAATCCAAATTATGACATTTAACTCCCCGAAATCAACACCCTTTTAAGTTATTACGGATTTAGGGCTACAATAAAATATAATATACATCTCGGGATTTAGGGTTAGTTATTTACTTACTTATTTTAATTAATTAAGTTATGTGTTTATTTAATTTCAAACGGAATGTTACAAGAATAGATTGTTATCCGAAACACTTATCTTTCCACCATATCTACCATGGGAACCAACGCCATTGAAGTCAAAGTTACTATTACCTCAACATCCTTCAACATTAACATCCATCTTTCAATTTATATGTTGCATAATTTCATAATACAAAATTCATACATATAATATTAGGATAATTTTTATACATATAACATTGCATAGTTTTATAACATAAAGTTATAAATATAATATTGGTTTCGTTTTTCGTTTTTCGTTTTTCGTTTTTTATACCTTTTTCGGGGTATAATATTAGGATAATTTGAGAGAGACGAACTTTCGATTTTTTTTCACATTTAGTCACTAAACTTTTTTTTCATTATCTATTTGTTACTAAACTATTGAAACTGTTCACATTTTACCCTTATGACCGACTGATACCGGTCGTAAGACTAAAATGTGAACAGTTTCAATAATTCAGTGACAAATAGATAATAATAAAAAATTAATAACTAAATGTGAATAAAATATTACCATTTCAATTCATTATCCTTTTACATATAGGGTCAGCGAAATTCTCTGCTACCCATTTAAGAAAAATGGATTTAGACATAAGGCATCTATAAAAAATGAATTTTATCAAACTGACATATGCGAGAAAAAAATGGATTGTTTGCCTTGACATTTGTGAAAAGTTGATTTCCTCACATTAACATTTGTGAAAAATATATTTCCTCATATTAACATCGGCCAAAAGAATCAAGAGGGAGCGGAAAAAATAGGAATATGTATGCAATAGTTCATTCAACATAAGCGTGAGGGTGATAAATGATAATGAAGGTTAAAGTGGACCCGCCGGTAATAAGAAGTAGTTTCGTTAGGAATGTTGAAATCCATTAAATAAATAGATTTTATAAATTCTATAGGAACCCTTGTTATTATCTTTTTATCCAACATAAAAATCCATATGAGTTGACTTCTAATTTTAACCGAATCTCATGAAATGTTTTGAACTAGGCATTCTCAATATTCAATGTGTTTTTATAGAATCGGTATAATACAATTATCGGTTGGATGTTGGGTGTGATCATCTGGTCCAATCCAATTGATTGTGTTTAATCAGGCCAAATTGAATATAAGATTAGATCAGTTCTATATGTTGGAAATTACTATCGGTTATCCAATTTTTTTCTAATTCTATACTTTTAAGTTTTGATACTTAATCAGACCATGACTATGAGATTGGATAATATTATAAGCTTGATCAATTGGATGGATCCAATTGGAAGATAATCGGATATCCAATTGGATGTTGGTCGTTTGCTTTTGGGTTTTTTAAATGGAAATGATAATATCTCCTAATTGAACTCTATCACTCTCTTTTTCTTTCCTACTTTCTTTCCATGCCTTTTAGTCTTCTTTCAAACATTTTTCTAATATTATCCTAATTGAACTCTATCATATATATTAAAAAAAAAAAAAAAAATCACCTCAAAAACTAATCCAAACATTTTTCTAAATATTTCTTTTGTTTGTGCAGTCTTTTTTAAGTTCAAAAAACAATCCCAAACGTCCCTTAATTGCATTGCCATCCCACCAAATCATTAAGCCTCATCGGCTCCCTCTTTGATCGCTCAACAAAAAGCCCGGTTTGCTCTTCGATTTGAACTACAGACTTAAACCCGGCCCAACATGATGCATTAATACGTGGAATGGAACTATTATTATTTTATATTATAAATAAACTAACCCTAGCCCTTCTAAAAAAAAGATATATAAGCGAACCCTAGAATTGCAAAAGATAATTACGTCTCTCCTCGTATATATTTCTTTTTGCCGGCGAAGGCTTGTTCAGGTTTCATAATTCAATTACTTCTCATATTCTGTAAATAATTCATCAATGGGAGCCAGTAGAAACCTTCAAGGTGAGATGGAACGAGTTTTAAAGATAGTTCAAGAAGGTGTTGATGTTTTCGACAGCATAGGGAACTTGGTACGCGTAAATTTTAATTTGTATTTCTTTAAATTATTGACGTTATCAGTGTTACGTAATCTGAACGCTGATCAAGGGTTCATGCATGTTGAAATCTCGTCATTAAATTAGATTAACGATGCCGACATTGTCAATGAGAAGGAGAAGTTTGAGGCCGACATGAAGAAGGAGATTAAGAAACTTCGGGAGTTCAGACACCGGCTTAAGACAAGCGTGGATACAGTCCTGCGAGATCAAGGATATCGATTAGAAGGTCATTAATGTTTCCGTTTGTACTTCTTTGTTATTGTTCTTGATCACTTATAAGTTATAATCACTGGTCACCAAGTCTAGTCGCCGAAACAAATTCTACCTTTGACGAAAGAGTTTGTCATATGATAATTTGAGGCTCATGGGTGTGTTGCTTATGCATTTAATAGCATCAAGAAACCCTTTGATGAATAAGATTGCGGACTTTGGAAATTGTCTATAGAAACTTGTTGATCACACATATATGTTATTTAACCTATATACTGCCTGTTGTAAAAAAAAATCTAACGTGCATAATGTGATACAGGTGGGAAGTTATTGCGTATTACTGGCAAAGGGAGTGCTAGTTGTGAGAAGACTAGCGGAGATGCTATTTAAAAATATAAGCAATATACATTTGGTGATGAAAATTTTGTCTGTCTGCTACTTTAAAAATGCTATTTTTACTAATTTTATGGGTATTTCGGTGTGTATTAGATGTGTACTATGAATGTATACAATTATATATACATTTTATTATTTAGAAATTGATTATAGGGTAAATTACAAGAATGGTCCCTGAGGTTTGGGGAACCTGCACGCTTAGTCATGTTCTTTTTTTAATTTCTACGGTCCCTAGTATTTATTTTCATTGCGATCTTTGGTCCCTATATTTTCATTGCGATCTTTGGTCCCTACTAAACGTAAAAAAGACAAAATTGCCATGCCTACTTCATTCATTCTCTCTCAGTTACGTTGCCGGAGAATGAGAGCACCAAGCTACCTCGATTTGACCCTCCCACTCTTGTCGGAGTCCATCACCACAACTACTCTTCCGTCCACCACTCTTAAACCTCAATCCATTCCTCCCTAACTGATATGAATCCATCACCAAATTGTTTAATTGAAATCCCATTTCGCTGCCTCTAGTTCCTCTTTTCTCGCCAGAAACCTGTAAACTTGATTTTGATGGGTTGGGTGGTAGTATAGTACCAAGAAAAGAAAAGGAGATATAGAGAATCAAAAATTGGTTAGGGGAAAGGTAGGTTAATTATTGATATGCGACATGAAAAATTAAAACCGCTCTAAATTGATTTCTAAAATCAACCACCGTTTTGATTTCCTGGAAATTTGGTGTTTCTAAAATCGATCACCATTCCTATTTCTTCCTACGAACTTGATTATAGGATTTGTTTGACTCTATTTGATTGTCAGGTTGTTTGACAATGATTGAAATCAACTGATACTTTGCTAGAAAAAAAAATTAAAGCATAAAAGTTTGAAATTGTGTCAATGATTCTTGGTTTGTTTGATTCAATAACTAATTGTGAGACACATGTATTACATAGGTTTATTAAAAAAAATAAACATGAAGATCTAACAATTTAGGAAATTTAAATTTTAAGAAAAAACAAGAAAAATATTTAATTATTAAAATTGAATTGCTTATTTATCTTTTAAATTTAAATAAATAAACAACTAAAATAATTGGATTCAATTTAGAAATTTAGAAATTATAAGAAAAGTTGCATTAATGAATCCGATATACATTTATTATAACATTTATTATATTTAAAGATTATATGAAATTTAATAAAATAGGAAAAAAAAAAAAAAAAAACCATAAATTGACACTTGGATTAATTTAATGTAAATTTACCACAAAATGACATGTGGTATAATACATAAAAGGATGACAAGAAGCATAATCATTTTCATTTATTAGTGAGGATTATGAACTTTGTTTAGGATTGTAAAAAACTCTCTTCTCATCCCATCTAGTCTCAAACAGTCGGAGCTTTGTCCAATTAAACATCTAGAGACAATGGAACTTCATTGGTTCAAGGTCTTCGCTATAAAGGGTTGTTTTAGCCGGAGATGACAAGAGAAGAGATTCGTGTGGGGTGTTTCTGGAATAGAGGGCAGAGACGTGTGTGGTGTTTTGGAACGGAGGTTGGTGGTGCAATGGTCACCAGAGTACATTGTGACGTTTCTAGTACGAAGAAGGAATGTATCAAGAATCAAGGGATCCTAGGCAGCATAAAGAACCAGGGCACACAATATCAGCTGAAGAAGAATATAGGAGGGTTGTGAAAGAGGGATGATTTTTCTTTTTAAGTTTAAATTAAAAAATGTTATATACAAATAATAAATTAATTGACAAAGAAATGAATAAGAGTATAATTGTTTTTTAGGTCCGACGGAGACCAAGCGTGTAACAAAAATATATAATATAGTTCATCTGAGTTAATAATCATACCCACAGACTAAGCATATAGATTCCCCCAAACCACATCGATCATTCATGTAATTCATGCAATTTATCCTTCATAATATAAAAAAACTGAACGGGCTTTATTAATTATTATTAGTAGTTTTTATTTTGATTCTATATATTTAGTGGGCCGAATTAACCTAATCAACTAGTAGTAGTTTTTATTCTCCTAAATGACCCTTTTGCCCCTTGTAGGTTAGCTAAATAGGTATTATAAATAAGTATTAGATTGTTAGTTTTATCACATCATTCAAAAATACTTTCTAATCTCTCAAAAAGACAATCTCACTCATTGCTTATTAGTTTTCTTTGTTCATCTTTGCAAACAATAATATCCGAGTATTGTTGATCACAATGTTTATTTTGGGGTTGGAGCTTCGTCAAATAACTAAAAGTTGTTTCGATCAAAGCTACAAAAAGAAATTCAAGGATTTGACAACATTTCGACTTGTGTCAAAACTCTAGTAATCCAAGCAAAGCTTGATGCAAGAAATGTGGTCTCTTTTTTAAGGGGGATAGAAATACGAGTTTGAGAAATCATTCAAACTTGTATTGCATGATAGTGAAATCTGGTTTGGATCGGGATCAAGTAACAATTCCAAATCAATGCACCTTCTGGTGTTTTGATCAACATTAATTTGATTGGGAAAATGATGGAAAAGTTCATGCTTCAAAAAAACTTTACCTTCCACAACTTCGACAACCCATCATGAAACTTTTCCAAGATACTCTTCAACGATGTTATTTCCATGTAATTCGTTTGACCCTTAGATGTCATTGCATTATTATGTGGAAAACTATTAAAATTAAATTATTAAAAGACTTGAAAACAGAATATGAAATAAATTTAACGTGCAATGTTTGGATTGGTCCGTGTTAACGTACCCTTCCAGGAATATGTCAAAGATAACGGAGTGGTTATTTAAAGAACAACCTAACTAATGATCGTTGCCCAGCATAAGTGTTAGGCCCTCACGCTTTCGCGCTTAGGCCCCGGCGTCCCAGCATCAAGGCCCATCAAAGGCCAAAATAGTATTAAATTGCTCCCCAGAACAACAAGTGTAACGCTCATAGCGTCGCTTCTCAGTAACTCTGTACCAATAGCGGATAACCACTAGTGGTGCACGACCCACCAATAGGAGGCCTCCACGTCCTAACAGTCCATACAAGACAGAAGATGTTGTTGGGGACATGTTCCCCAGACGACAGGTATAAAAGGACCATTCTTGTCTAGAAGAAGGGATCGCTGCCACTTTATCTAATACAAAACCCTAATTCCCTCATGCAAATTTTGACTAGACTGTAAGAGTCTCGTTCCAGGACCCCCTCCCGGATGACAACTAACGTCGACTCTTTTTTTTGCTGTGATTCTCAATCTTTACCAGACGAAGCAATCCACAAACTTCGTTAAGCTCGAACACATATCATAACATTTGGCGTCATCCGGGTGTGTACTCGAAGCTACACAAACTTCAAACGACTCTAGATGGCAACAATGACAAAAAAGGGACATGCGGTGTCCGACGGGGGGGGGGGGGGGGGGATGAGCCCACTCAGATCAATGTCGTCACTTGATGGAACATATCCATTTGCCTTAGATGGATAAGCGGATGCCCATACACCAGCAGCACATACGACAGGTCCGAAATGGGGAACCGTAACGGCAGTAATTGCAGCCCTATGGCGACCAACATCCGTCACAACAAAGCATTCGGTTACAACCATGACCATAGAATCTCAGTCGACAGTGACTCAGCAGTCCCAACTGTCAACTTAGCAGTCACAACTGGTAGTCCCTGAGCCGCATACGCAACCGCAACAGGTGGGAACTAGCACCTGGTCCCCATGAACAATCTCATCCCCCCACTCAACACCCAACGTCAACTACTAGTTCTCTCCGGTAATAGGAATGCCGCGTGTCCTGTTTTTCACTCAACAACGTACGATGTTCAACCACTATTTCCAGCAGTGTTACAGATCCAACCATCAAACACCGCTGGCAGGAGAGACCAACCCTCACTTTCCATCGACGTAATAGTTAAGCACCTTCATCTAACCACCCCAGGGGTCAATTCCGAGCATGTCTCAACATTCGGAGCAAAGCTCACAACTGCAGCAAAGCACGCAATCGAGCTGCCAGCAGCAACCATACATCTCACAAGCAGCAATGTACAATCAATCAAACATAAATCTTTATTACACCCAACAATTTACGATGTACGATGGTTTTCCATACCCCCGCATGGAAACCCTGAGGAGCATCGTTCTGCTTTTTTCCAGGAACTCTTGCAGTATGAGATCCCGTATTGGGAAATTATACCAAATATCCCCAAGTACGATGGAACAACTGACCCCGACGAGCACATCGACACCTATGAGTGGACGATGACTTCACTACGGATGGACAAGCATTTCATGTGTATGTATTTTCCTGTTATATTATCCAGTAACGCTGAAAAATGGTTCAAGGCACTATGACCGGGTAGCATTGGGAGTTTCGAACAGCTGAGATACCTTTTCGTTAACAATTTCATGCAACTACGGAAGGGGAAGGGAGATGCAAACTCCATATTGTCATGCAAGCAAAAAGAAGGAGACTCGATACATGCATACTATGATAGATTCACACTGGTGACACTCAACGTTTCAGGTTATGAAGAATTCCTTGTAACTGACACCTTCTCCCAAGGTGTACTCCTTGGACCTTTTTCAAAAAAGATGCAGGGGACGGTACCTCAATCGAGAGACGAGCTCAAATACAGAGTCAAAAAATACATCCGACGAATCGAAGGCGGGGAACAAAAGGAAACCAACCTGAAGGTCATCACAAACGTGTATATCAAGAAAGAAGAAGAAAACTCCCATGCAAACTCCAATCGCTAAGACCACCATGACAAAATCCATGACAAGCACAGTCGACGCTTAAGGCACCCACCTCGCAGGTTCCGTCCTTTCGGCAAGGATAAGTCCCGGATTCACCACGCTAAGGTGCATGCAGTTAAGAAAACACCTCTAAAGGTGGACAAAGAAAAAGGGAAATATTGTGAACACCACAAAAGTAAAACCCACGATACCAGCGAGTGCATGGTCTTAAGGAAGGAAATGGATGAAAAACACCTAACGGGTGACCTCATAGCAATTGCCAAGGACTTGAGGTCCAAGTTTTACGTTGAACAGAGGAATACACGAGATCAAAAAGATAAGGGCAAATGCCA